TACCTATTTTGACTAAGTATGGACCGAAGCAGTCTACTACAGTCGAGTAGAAGGGTGGACAAAGTAGTCTGAGACGTTCTAGTGGCAGATCTCCCATTTGTGGGATTTTGGGTTGAGCACTCCACCTCTGACAAGATGGACAGTTGAGCTGATGATGTTTTATGGCTTGGCGACCCTTGAGTATCCAATAATGCCTATTTTTTCCTTTTCCTATATATTTCAGCATATACTCGCTCTCTTCCCGGGTGACCTGATACACTATTCTCATAGTGAGGGTGGTATGCTCAGGAGATCGATAGTGATAGCTTAGTGTGTCAGTTGCACAGTTCCATCTAAGGCCTAAGGTGGGTTCCGTAGGGTCGATACGGATATGTACCAACCATTTCTCAGTAGCTGAGGACCGTTCTTCAGTCGGCAGATGAGCTACAACAGCTGGATGATTACTAGCCCACTGCCTGAGGTCAAACCCTCCCTCTGCTAGCATACTGCGCAACTGGTCCACAGTTTGCCTTGCTTCAGCGGTTGTAGGAAAGCTGATCAGGCAGTTGTCGACATAGAAACTTTGCTGTGCTATTCGTAGACAACCAGGATAGTCAGCCTCAGAATTATGGGCATGATGTTGCACTGCGAAAATGGCACAACATGGACTGCTTGTTGTATCAAATGGCAAAACCTGCCACTCGTACACATCTGGGGGGTCTTCACTCCGCAGGTCTCTCCAAATGAAACAGAGAATGGGTCTGTCCTCAGGCAGTAAACAGACCTGGTGGAACATTTATTTATTTATTTGACAGTAGTTTATCAGTAATCCTAAAAAATAACACTGCCAAACTTACATGCTAAAAAACAACAACTTACTGACACATAGTAAAACTGAAACAGAAGTGAAACAAGTAGTAGGAAAGAGGAGAAATAAAAAGCGATACTTATCCTTTGCCAGTGTCCCTGCCTGGTGAAGTCGCACGGTAGAGTTGATGGTCTTTACACTCTTTGGTCTTCACACGAGGAGGCCTTCACGCAACAAACTAAACTTTTTTATACCCTTCTAACAAAATACTACATTAATTCAGCTGGACACACTTTCCTTATTTTCTCCACAACAAATCGCCAAGTAAGCGCAAACACTGACAAGATACGCGATACAGAACGAGACCAAGCGCGATATCAGCACGTCTCCACACAGTAAACAAAACAAGCGTTTCCTAGCAACGACAACTGCACTACACACTAATGAGACAAGTAAATACACTTACGAGCTGCTTTTAACTTCCGCTGATAAAGACTGCTTCTCTCAGAGTATTTCTTTACACTGTTTACTGCTGGCACTTGAACACACTTTCCTTATTTCCTCCTCAACAAATGACCAAGCAAGAGTAGACACTGACAAGATACGCGATACAGAACGAGACCAAACGCGATATCAGCACGTCTCCACATGGAACATGCCCTTGATGTCTCCACTTACAGCTATCTGATGCTGCTGGAATCTTAGGAGTACACCCAAGAGTGATGGGCCTAGTACTGGGCCTGGAAGAAGCTGATCATTGAGGGACAGACCTTGATGTCTGAATGAACAGTTAAAAACCAGCCTTGGCTTGTTATTGTGACTCACTAGATGGTGAGGCAGGTACCATACCTCCTCGGTCTGAGTCTCTTCCATGCGGGTGAGCTTGGTTGCATAACCTGCTTCAGTGAGCTTAATTATCTCCCCTGAATAAACTGACGCTTTCTCAGGGTCCTTCTTTAGTCTTTTTTCAGTACTCCTCAGGTTGGAAAGAACGGATTGTATGGTGCCTTTTAGTTTAGCGGCACCCGGTTTCCACACAAGTGGGGTGGCATAACGTTGCACTCCGTTAACATCGACTCGTTGAGTCTGAGACACAAGAAGATCTACAGCCTCTTTATCCTCTTTGGATCTAACCACCAATTTCTCACTGCGATAGGGCACAACATCAAGTTGCCATAATCTTTCCACGTTTCTGAAGAGCAGGTCATCTGGGTTAGTAGTGGAGGGGAAGAAACTCTGCTGCTCGGTTGTATGGGCTGCAGTACACATGTGTGCTCCTTGGAGTGCCCATCCAAGAGCTGTATGAACAGCCATTGGACCCCCCTTGGCACCTTGGTGGATAGGCTCTGTGGCAGTAATGAGATGCACCTGGTCTGAGCCTAGGAGTACCAGTGGGCGTGCCCTGTGGAATGGCTGCAGCGGAACTCCTCCCTGTGAATGCCCCCAATACGAGATAACGTTTCTCTGGGTTGCCTTTAGGGGAGATCTCAAAAGTAACTTTAGAACCACTGAGATGAGTAGTACCTAGTCGTACTGTATGGAGGGCTAAAGTCTCTGGTTCACCTCTTATCTTGAGCTTATGTACTGCAGTGGGTAGGCTCATAGTGCGCTGAGCTCGATCATCCAATACCAAATACGTTTCTAATGTCTGTGATTTGTGGTGTAGCAGCACTGGTACTACCTTCAGGAGAACTCTGGAGGTTTTACCTCAGGTGCTGTGAGAATCGCGGCTATTTCACTTTGAGCCAACTGGTGGGGTTGACCATATTGCAGCTGAAGAGCCTGCATATCTGCTGAATATGGGGGTTGGGTGATGACGACAGGACTGTTCGATCATCTGCGCTTCAGGTAGTTTAAGATGCTCCAGCAGTATGTGATATTTATATTTCTCATCCAGCTCTGTGTGAGGCTCAAGAAGATTATCCAGTTCCAACTTCAAATTAGCAAATTCTCTCTCATTGTCGTTAATGAAGTCAGGGATTCTTGGTTGGGGGGCAGAGTGAAGCAGGCGATATGGCATTAAATGTTCTGGTTGTCTAGTCGCCTGATTAAATTGCTGCTGTGATGGGACAGCGAAGACTGGAAGAGAAGCGCTAGGCAAAGTCTGAGGGCTGATGCTACTGGAGGCATAAAGGCATACTGAGTTATCGGATAACTTGAGGGAATTGGTACAGTCACATGAGGTAAGTTAGGGTGAGGTAATGCTGGATATCCTTAAGGCATGTTGGAATACTGATAGGTTGGTGTGGGAGCAATTAACTGTTGCACTTGGGGCTGGAAGGCTTTCCCAGCTACGTTAGGAGGAGGGAAGTGTGAGGGCACAATCCCCGCCCTAGTAGCGTATTGCAGCCGAGATGAAACAGTAGAAATTGTCCCTGATTAAACAGGTGAACTCACAGCATGTGTAGCAGCTGGCACAATTGGAACGAATCCTAGGTTGAACTGCTTTGACTTTACAATAGGGGTACTCACTTCTGCTTGTGTGGCACTCACATGTCCCGAAGTTGTGGGAACAATGCATTGTTCCTCTGCATGTAATTCGATGCCAGGTGATTGCAGCGATGGGGAAGAATGGCTTGAGGATGAAGGCAGATGGAACGAGGCTGCTGCAGGTGATCTAGCTGGAGGTGTAGCAGTCTTTACATTCTGATAATCCTGTTCTTCTCCTTCTTCCCTCAGAAATGAAGTAATATGCTCCATGAGCTCTTGGCGAAGGCGCTGTCGTTTCTCATACTGTTTCAGTTTGCTTTGGAGCTGGGCTATGTCGGCAGCTTCGTCCTTTTCTCTTTCCGATATGGTCTGCAGGATTTCCCTCAATGAACCCATGCTCAATGTGTTTGTAAGACTTGTGGCTGGACGTGCCTCACCCGTGCTGGAGGCTGGTTGCTCTTGGTTAGCTGTAACCCCTGTGGCTACTGCTCCATTCTGCTCCTCTGACTCAAGTCCGATATGATGGGAGGAAGGAGCCGGTCGGGGATGGCTGTAGTCAAGTAAATAATCTTCCAAATGTCTGGGTGTTTGGCGCTACCTTGAGGGTCTATCTGTAGCATCCATATGAGGGAGAGAGGCTGCATTATCCTCTGATGACATGACTGCAGTAGTCAACAGATCCGGCTCGAAGGATCAATGTTGGGGATTGCCCCTCTGAATGCTGGGTTTGGATATTATTGACCGTCACAGAACACCGGTCAAGGAGTAGAGTCGTCATCAGATGATTCTTTTGACTTTATTATGCAGCATAAGACCACACACACATAGTGTACAGCTGAGGTAATTTATCATCACCAACTTGTACTGCATAATGGGCTGCTGCACGCGAATAACCAGCGGATCCTCCGCTCACATCACCGAGAAAGTGCGCACATACGCAAAGTGCGCACATACACTAAAGCACCATTGTACGACAATCACGTAACACTGAATGGCGTATTTACATAGACACGACAAACATGAACGTGAATGTAGAGAATTCACAACACCTACACTTCATGTCTTTGCACATTTTGAGGATTATTAGTGCATGGCATTGCCTTTTTAAGCTATATTGGATTCTGCTGGTGATTTTCTACAATCACTTATAGCAAATATGTGCTACTTTTCCATTGCTCACTCTAATCACGGTCTAAAAAAACACCCTAACATTCCATATAGATTTATACATATTAAAGCAAGATTCATTTGAAATGTCTTTGTATTTAAATGACAAAGACAGGTGACATGTCTGCTTTTAGGTGATAAGGCATTTTGGCACTGCAGAAGACTATCTTTTCAACTGCTGTTTACCAATAAGTGTCTAAGACGTCTGCAGCTCGCCTTGATCGGCCCCCACATTCCTGTTCTCCTTAAGGAGTCCCCTCAATCATGAGGGGTTCTTCTCCACTACTCCAATCCATCTCTGCAATCCAGCGGGCCTCCACTCGCAGTTGCTTCAGTGCACATTTCATGCTTTCCTCTGCTCATCCTGCTATTGTTTTTTTTTTTGTATCCACTGTAAGAACTTTTTTCTTCTGCACATTCGGCATTGTCCACTGGTGTGTGTTTTGGATTTCTTTTTACCTTTTTATTTTTTATTTTTTTGGACCTGTTACAGTTTCCACGGCGCAAACAACTCTGGAGCTTTCTGTGCGATTGGTTTCTTTAATTTATTAGTGAGAGATTCAATTGTTTGGGGGTAGCTGGAATGGCTACTTTACCAGGAACAATTCCTCGAATGATGCGACCAGCACCTGGCCAGAACTACCCACGAACCGGATTCCCGTTAGAAGGTACGGAAACAATTCTTCTTCTTCTTCTTATGATTCTTAAATAAAATCATAATTGTATTACACATTTGTAACTGTAATTTTAAAATACTAAAACAAATCCTTTTGGACGAGGTATGTCAAACACACTTTCACGCGTTACTGATGGTAAAAAAAGAACATTTTTTTGGACCTGTTACAGTTTCCACGGCGCAAACAACTCTGGAGCTTTCTGTGCGATTGGTTTCTTTAATTTATTAGTGAGAGATTCAATTGTTTGGGGGTAGCTGGAATGGCTACTTTACCAGGAACAATTCCTCGAATGATGCGACCAGCACCTGGCCAGAACTACCCACGAACCGGATTCCCGTTAGAAGGTACGGAAACAATTCTTCTTCTTCTTCTTATGATTCTTAAATAAAGTTCCGTCGTTACCAATAGATTTCAATGGAACTTACTACCATAGTTAGCTAACGATGCTTTTGGGAAACGCACCCCAGTATGATTAAATACAAATATCTGTAGTAGCCTATTATTTCTGTTTTCTCTTGTAAATAATGCCAAAGTTATACGCTCAGGTGACAACCCTCAAAATTACATTTATATGCATTTATACACAGGCCAAAACTGATATTCGTTATTAAACAAATGCATGAAAAACAATCTCTCTGTTGCTGTCCACTGGTTGTGGTTGTTCATTTGTTGGGAATGTTGTGAGTGCGTCGTCTCTTGGTTACTTATTCCATAAATCTGTCATTTATAGTGTCTCATCTTCTGCACAACACTGAATCCACTGTTAAATTCTTTGAAGGGATTCTTTAAGTTTACCATCCGGATAACATTTAATAATGTTAAGACTTATTAGAGCTGCTGTGTGTTGAATGGGCGTCTGTGTTGCTGAGGAGTGTAAGAGCTCGGAGGCACCGGTAAGAAACACACTGATCCTCCAGCAGCTCGCGCCGGGGTTTCGCGCACAGACGTAATGTAGAAGAGCTTTTAAGCCCTGATTAAACTGAGTCCCTTTATTTCTTTTCACTTTCATCTCTAAACGGCTCACAGTGACTCGCCCAGGGCGTAAATTCATGAGATTTGGAGTTTATTTTCCATTATATTTATATATTTATTTAAGGTGTGCAAAATACATGCGGTTTTTTTATTGCATGTCTTTATAAGGTGTTAGACTGATTACTATCTAGTTCATCAGAAAAGTCCTCAGATTTTTATTGACTTGTTTTGGCATACAACATTTATTTATTTATTTATTTATTTATTTATTTATTTATTTATTTATTTATTCATTCATTCATTCATTCATTCATTTATTTATTTATTTAGTTAGTTATTTATTTATTGTGTTAATTAGATGTTAAATTGCTTACGCATATTTAGTTGATAAAAAAAAATAATACCTAAACATTTTTGTTGACTTGTTTTGGCATCATTGTTTTAATATTATATTATATTATAGGCTTCATATACCAAAAATATATTAGCAATTTATTAAATAAATATAATATTACATTTTATTTTAGCCGCATATATAATATATTCATATTTTGTAAACTTTTGGGGGTATACAAAATACATGTATTTTTTATACAAAATAAATTAATTTAAAAAAAAATTATTCAGACCTTACATTTATGTTGACTTGTTTTGGCAAACAAAATTTATTTATTTATTTATTTGCGTGGCATGTGTTTACGCAGTTAGAATCTGGTAGATTATTTATTTATTTATTATACATAACACGGTGTTAAACGTTTTGAAAATAAACGACATAAACGTTGTCTGTGCTCCCTACACCCTGAGTAGATCTCCGTGTACCTAACCTTAATAGCCTTAACTATGACTTCCACATTTGATTTAGTGGCCATTGCAATAATAATAATCTTGTGCACCTGTCATCCTCGTTACGGAAATAAAATATATATATATATATATGATGAGCGACAGCAGAGTTAGCACAAACCTGCCAAACTAAATGAGTCTTTAATGGGTTCCAGCCCCGCGTCTGACAGCTCACCTGGTGCACTATTTCTCTGGAGGAGCATGTTAAACGCGACCACGCGTCCATTTGTGAGAGTGGCACTGGACACTTCAGCAGATCTGTGGATTACCTGAGCTTTTCAGACTAGCCTAATCAAACAGACTTCAGTCAGGGGTTGAGGAGTGTTGTTGTGGGATAATAGTGATACAAACCTGTAGGCGAGACGGATGTGAGCGATGCGCAGACTCGGGTTTACTGTACACATGAACTCAGTGATATTTAGAAGAGAACAAAAAATCATACTTTCATTATGCAACATTTCTCCTGTGATAAAGCGCGAAGAATATTCTGGAAGAGCAGTTTCTTATAGTTTTGGCGCCCTGGACGCGCACCAGCAGGGCATTTTCTCTCTTGCTTCACATTTATATGAAAACAAAGCAGATATACCTTCGAATCCTAAAGCCGCACTGAAAGAGAAGCATAGAGAGACATTTTAAACAAATCCATCTGGAATAGAATATGTTACAGGGACACACAGAGAGAGAGAGAGAGAGAGAGGGGAAGATTAAGTGAAAGTAAGGGGAAGTTATTTAGCTATTAATATTTTTTCTCCTCAGGCGTCGAGAGTGACTCCATCTGCACTTTCTTGCAGCTATTTGGGCTGGGCTGAAATTGTGGGAGACCCAAATGTTGGGCAGAGATAACACAACCATCAGAGTGTGGACCACAACTGCATTAAACACGGATTAACCTCTTCTCTCCCGTCACCCTGTCTCAACGCAGCTCGAGAATTTGACTGGCGAGGGATTTTCTTTAGTGTATATACAGAGTCCAGGGTTTAATCCATAATTCAGCACTACAGTAACAACAACAACTATTTATTTATAATTATGTACGATTATATATATATAGTTTTCTGTTCAAATATATATATTTTTAATAATTTTTCCTTTTATGCTCCGGTATTAACCATTTTTGTTGTCAGGGGTAATAAGTTGAACAGATATAAGCTCATAATAATATTACACTGAAGCTAGTGATTATAAAAGCTTGCGTCCATTTCGCCATTGCAGTGCTAGTTGCTTAAAATCCAGATAAAGGCAGTTCTAATTCCCGGAACCAATCAAATTTACCGAACCAGATGCAATTGACCATGATTTGCATTCAAAAAATAACCAAAAACGGGTGAGGATGATGTGAATGAGGGCTCAGGCAGTTAAGGGGAATTGAGAAGCGTATGATCTTTGATCCGTGGATGTCTTTTTGCTTATCAAAAACACTTGAGACTTCATTAAATGCGGTTTGCCATCTGGGACAGTGTAAATCTCTGCACAGATGTTAAGGAGAATAGCATTTTCTTATATCGGAGAGAATTCTTGTAATAGTGCGGGTTTCACTCCCCAGCTGTTAACCGAGTGCGCAGAAGACCTTTACGCACATAAACGCTGTTTTATCATCTGCTCCAGCTAATAACCAGAGAGGATTTCATTTCTCAACTTTTCAAGGGCTTTGGAACCCAAATGTAATATATGAATCACACATAATGTATCTGCGCGGATGTGTGCTCGGTTCTTTGTGCGTAATTGCCTCTCCATGCGAGCAATGGATATTGTATTTGGTGCGTTCGTATCTGGTTAATGTTTGTAATGGGGACTTAAATACACAATTGATTCTGACATGTAAATTGTCATTTCCGTTTTAGCCATTTGATTTGTGTGGGCGGGTCACACTTGACACACACAAGCTGTGATACAGGCCTCATTAAACTCTCTGTCTCTCTCTCCGTGTGTGTGTGTGTGTGTTTGGGGAGGGTGTCTGAAAATGCATCCAAAACACAGCGCGCAATTTCGCTGTCTTTTGAACACATGAACCATATCAAATCTGTGCTTTTATTTGCTACAATATTTTATTTTCTTGCATCTGATTTGTAGTCAATAACACACGAAAATTACAGACGGATTGTGCTTCAAAACACACATTAGTTTTGTGTTCCAGAATCAGTGCGCAACATTCTTAAGTGCTGTGTAAAAATTCTTATGTATGTCATAGAAACCGAGGTGTTTATGCCAAATATTTTGTAAGAAGACATGCCTGCTGGATTATAATTTATGAACCGTATGAGCACATCGATGAAAGGCAGGTTCTTTTTAGGATTATCATCCAGACATTTAATATAGCTATTTATATTTATGCTTTCGAGAATATAAAAGGTCGCAGTAATAGTTCATTAATTATTTGTAGTCTGGATTGTTCATATTTTGCTATCTCTTCCGTTGTAAGCTACTTTACGCATTTGTCTTCAATCCTTACGCACTCTTTTTTCAGCGCGGGAGTGTGGATTTAACTAATGAAGCGTTTCAGTCGCGTTGGTCGGTGTTTTAGAGATCCGTTCAAGTGGCTTTTAAGGAACAATAGAGGATCCCATATAAAAGGTCGCAGTAATAGTTCATTAATTATTTGTAGTCTGGATTGTTCATATTTTGCTATCTCTTCCGTTGTAAACTACTTTACGCATTTGTCTTCAATCCTTACGCACTCTTTTTTTCAGCGCGGGAGTGTGGATTTAACTAATGAAGCGTTTCAGTCGCGTTGGTCGGTGTTTTAGAGATCCGTTCAAGTGGCTTTTAAGGAACAATAGAGGATCCTGGGATGCGGTAAATGGCAGTGACCGGTAACCCCTCTCACACTCGGGCAGGTCATTGCGCTTCAGTGAGCACAGCTTAGAGAGCTGAGAATCACCTCTGAGGAAGTCATCTCAGCAACAAGTGCTGAATTTATACAATTAATTCTGCATCTGGAACTCAGATCGCCCTGATCGATGAACATTTGGTAGAAGATCATTACTAGTAGCCTATTGGATAGCCCAATCGTTATAGGCTACGTTTAAATGAAGCAGTAGCAACACTTATACAAATATGAAATGTTAACCAAACGAAAAGAAAACAAAGGGGAAAAAACAGTTATTATAATTGTAACTACTGCAATTTATTTTATTTTATTTATCCGTTCATTAGTAACATATTGTAGTGTTTTT